TCTTTCCCCATCTGTACAGCGGTGTACCGGATGATCAACATCTCCTTCCCCATCTGTACAGCGGTGTACCAGATGATCAACATCTCTTGCCCCATCTGATGTCCCCTCCCTAATTTCACCCATGTAGCTGACAATGAACAGAGTAAAAACAGTGACTGGTAGGGAGAATAGGTATGAGGGCTTGGAGAGTTCTGTAGTATGGGTGAGAACTGGCCAAGCATTCTTGGAATGATTATGAACCAAGAACTTTAAAGATAGTTATCCCCAGGGCTGGAGAGGTGGTTCAGTAGTTAGAACACTGGCTGCTCTTCCAGAGGATCCAGGTTCAATTCCCAGCATCCATATGACAGCTCACAACTGTAACTTCAGTTCCAGGATATCCAACAATCTCAAACAGACATATATGCAGGCAAAACACTAACACACATGAAATATAAATAATATAAATATAAATATAAAAAAATATAAATATATATCCCCTAACAGGAATGAAGAGTCCAGCTCGAAAGATGTGAATCATGGTATGGGGCTGTGTCAGTGATACCATATGTGCTTGGTGCACACAAGGCACACAAGCCCACAGCACTACACACACAAGGAAGACATTATTCATCCCATATCTAAACCATGCCTATAAATAGCGAAGTAATGAAAGCATGAGACCAGCATAAACCAGTGGTTCTCAACCTTCCTGATGCTGGACACTTTAATACAGTTCCTCATGTTGTGGTGACTCCCAACCATGAAATTACTTTTGTTGCTATTTCATAATTGTAATTTTGCTACTGTTTTGAATAGTAATGCCAATATTTGATATGCAGGATATCTGATATGTGACCCTGGTGAAAGAGTTTGTTTGATCCTGAGGGGTCACAACCTACAAGTTGAGAACCACTGGAAACTCCTGCCAAGAACAGCCAAGCAAACTTAAAAAATATAATGTCTTAGATATGAAAGTCCATTGATGCATAGACACTAAGGGAGAAAAACAGGGGCTGGGAAGATGGCTCCTTCAGTAAAATGCTTGCGCAGCAAGCCTGATTACCTGGGTTTGATCCCCTGCACCTGCATAAAAAGCTAGGCATAGTGGCACACACTGGGAATCCCAGCACTGAGGAGGCAGTCTAGCCTGGTCGGTGAGCCTCAAGTCCCATTGAGAAATGGTGTCTCAAAACATGGAGAGGTAGAGAGCAAAGATGCCCATGTGGACTTCTGGCCTCCACAAGCACATGCACATACATGCACACACATGGGCATGTACTTGAACACACATACAAAAGAAATTACATGTATTATGAATAACTCTCTACCTCGAGGAAATATGTGCAATTTATACCTTATTTACTCTTCAGAATTCTTTTTCCTGTGCTATAGGTAAGTACTTTCATAAAAGGAAATATTCAAATAGTTTTTCACAGTTTTTAATGACAGGTAGGAAAATTCTGATGATAATTAGCCAGGTCTGGTGGCAAGAGCCCGTAACAGAAGCTTGTGAGTCCAAGGCCTGCACAAACCACAGAATGAGCTCTAGGCCAGTCTGAGAAGTTGCTGAGACCCTATCTCAAAGTTAAAAGTAGAAAAAGGGATAGGGATACAGTGCAGTAGTAAAGTACTAATACAGTGTGCGTGTGGCCTGAGATTCAATCCAGGGGCCATTAAAAGAAAAGGAAAGGGGCTGGAGAGATGGCTCAGAGGTTAAGAGCACTGGCTGTTCTTCCAAAGGTCCTGAGTTCAATTCCCAGCAACCACATGGTGGCTCACAACCATCTGTAATGAGATCTGGTGCCCTCTTCTGGCCTGCAGGGATATGTGCAGGCAGAACACTGTATACATAATAAATAAATAAATCTTTAAAAAAAGAAAAAGAAAAGGAAAGGAAAGAAAAAGATAAGATGTCAGATGGAAATGTAGGCGGCCATTTCAAAGTGACCTCAATGGAAGTATGGTGGAGATAAGTGTGCAGGAGGAACCACTGTTTCTGGACAGGGCCACCACACAAGGAAACATTTCCTAACTTGAACTTCGTTCCTCAGAGGATTTTTTTTTAATGTGTATGGATGTTTTGTTTGTATGTATATCTGTACACCACCTGTGTGCAGGGCCTGCAGAGGCCAGAAAAGAGCATTGGATCTCCAGAGACTGGAATTACAAACAGTTGTGAACCACATGTGGGTGCTGGGAATCGAACCTGGGTCCTCTGGAAGAGCAATTGGTGTTCTTAACCAGACTCTCCTTTCTGGTCTTAAATAGTCTATAATAAATACACATTTCTGTCATTATAAGAAAAAAAATGAAGGTTTCTCTTTAGGAACTAAGATTCTATTGCCAAGGAAATGCTTTGGGTTGCGTTTGGTTTGTTGTTTTTGAGACATGGTCTTGCTCTAGTAGCCCAGACCGTCCTTGACTTTGCAATCCTCCAGCTTCAGCTTGCCCTGTGCTGAACTGCAGGCATGTACACTAGGCCAACAGCACTAGAATGGACCAGTGGTGGCCATGGAGGAAGAAGAGCAGATGTGAGGAAGGTCAGAGACACAGGGTTAAGAGTGTGCTGACTGATGGATGGCACTGAGGCCCACATGAGACATTCTGATACGGGAGACCTGGAGAGGTGGTATGTCACAGGAAGATGGTGGTATGTCACAGGAAGACCATTAAAAGCAGAGGAGAGGCTTCAGAGAATTGCACTTTAGATTAGGCTGTAGTTCTTGAAAAACGGAATTATTAATATTACGAGCCCCAAGCCCCCATAGCCTATTAGATGTTTCTAAGAACAACCTGCCTGGAGAGCAGATGGCAAGGTATTCCTAGAAAGCCTTCCTTACCCCGTAACTCAAAGATAAGTGTGTGACTGAACACTAATCATCTCGTGGGAGGTGACATTAGTGTATGGACTCTGAATGAATGGCATTAGGCTGCAGTAGAGCCTGCCATGGTTCCTGTGACACCAGCCTCCACAGCAGCCCAGGCTCCTCTTCACAGCAGTGCATCACCATGCCCTACTCCCTGTCCCTGGACCTATGAGTACTCAGTAAGTATGAATGAAATGACTAGAAACTATTCCATAAACAATCTGTCTATGCACGATGTCCTTCTGTTATCTGATTTGCTCTTGCTTGTCATTTCCCTAGGAAAATGTCCTGAAGCATGGGTGTCTACGAGACACGAAAAGTAAGAACCAGCTCAGAGAATCCCCCAAACATGTCACCATCTCAAACTTAACACTCACTTTCCAAGGCGAGAAATGTTTTCAGACTACTTTGACTCCTGTAAAAAGTGAGGAAAATATATCCAAAGAAAAGTGTGATAAAACCTTGGAAGGAAAGATGACTGATCTTCCAAAAACAGATCTCAAGGCTAAAGAATCCAGGTCAGTAGCATGGGGAAATTCTAGGGCATTCTAGGATGTACAGTATGTAAAGGGATGTATGCTGGTTTCTCTGTAACTCAGGCATTTGTCTCTGAAGATCCTCAGACAGATAGAGCCTGACAACGATGATACAGGAACCTCTTAGACATCCATATTTGGGTCAGCCTTGGCTAATTTTTATTTCCATACCAGATTCTTATGTTGCTCGGCTGCTATTCTGGCTGTTGGCTGAATGCCAAAAGCATTCATTTTAGGAAATAAAGAGAAGCATGGGGCCTACATCTTAGAGCTGGGATGTTCACTTCTAGAAAGATTGTGGATATTTTTGTTGTTGTTGTTGTTGTTGTTGTTGTTGTTGTTGTTGTTGTTTTGGTTTTTTGAGACAGGGTTTCTCTGTGTAGTTTTGGTGCCTGTCCTGGAACTCACTCTGTAGATCAGGCTGGCCTCGAACTCACAAGAGATCTGCCTGGCTCTGCCTCCCGAGTGCTGGGATTAAAGGTGTGCCCCACCACCGCCCGGTTGACTGTGGGTATTTTTATCTCTATACTTATCTACATTTTCTTACAGAGCCTCTATTTCATGTCTCTGTACTTCCAAAAATATGCAAAAACTACTTTCATTTTTTTAATCCTCCTGCTGCAGAGCTGACTGAAGCTGAATGTCCATGGATGTTGCAGTGGCAGAAAGGGGCAAGTTAATACCATCACTCTAGGGCAACACTCCAAAGAGCCCAGATCAAAGGCTTACATTAGGCTGGAGGGCCCACACCTGTACTCCCAGCTACTCTGGAGGCTAAGGCAGGACAGTCCCTTCAGCCCACAAGGTCCAGACCAGCTTCACCTTAAACAAACAACTTATGTTAGTAAAAATACAAATGAGGGAGCTCAGGGGTGGACTGCTTGCTTAGCACACACAAGGCCCTGGGTTTGATCTGCAGCACAGGGTGGGGGAAGAAATTATATATACCGTACACACATACATAGGATAAAAAAATTAATTTAGGAATGAAATCAACCAGAATTTATTAAGTAATTTGAAGTGTTAAAGAGATTCATTGTTTTTTTTTTTTTCCAAAAAGGACAAAGTAGTAAACTATTAGAATGGTTACTTTTTGAAAAAGAGAAAAACTAAAAACTTAAGTGTCACATTGCCAGGCAGTGGTGGCGCACGCCTTTAACCCCAGCACTTGGGAGGCAGAGCGAGGCAGATCTCTGTGAGTTTGAGGCCAGCCTGGTCTACAGCGCAAGATCCAGGACAGGCACCAAAACTACACAGAGAAACCCTGTCTCGAAAAACCAAAAAAAGAAAGAAAGAAGCCAGTCTCCAAAATTAAAACAAAATAAAAAAGTGTCACTAGAATAGTAAAATGTTATTGAGAAACTCTCTAAGATTGTTTTCTGTAAAACTTGGAGACATTAGGAGCTGGAGAGATGGCTCAGCAGTTAGGAGCACTTAGGGCTCTGACAGAGGTCCCTGGTTTGGTTCCCAGCACCCACACTGGGCAGTAAATAACTGCCTATAAATCCAGCGACAGGAGATCCAACATCCTCTTCTGGCATCTGGTGGTACGAAGCATGCACATGGTGTACATACATATGTGCAGGTACTGACACATACATGTAAATTTAAAACAAATAATCCCAGCACTTGGGAGGCAGAGCCAGGCGGATCTCTGTGAGTTCGAGGCCAGCCTGGGCTACCAAGCGAGCTCCAGGAAAGGCGCAAAGCTACACAGAGAAACCCTGTCTCGAAAAACCAAAATAAATAAATAAATAAATAAATAAATAAATAAATAAATAAGCCAGACATGGTGGCACATACCTTTAATCCCAGCACTCAGGAGGCAGAGGCAGGCGAATCTCTGTGAGTTGGAGGCCAGCCTGATCTACAGAGTGAGTTCCAGGACAGCCAGGGCTACACAAATAAACACTATCTTGAAAAACCTAATTTATTTAAAAAGTAAATCTAATTTTAAAAACTTGGAGATGTCTTGAAAACCCTGTCTCAACAAAACGAAACAAAACTTGAAGGCAATAAATTAATGACTTTTAATAAAAATGCAAAGTAGAAAACTTAAGCAATAAGAAATTAAGAACTTGAAACAGGAGTTATCAAAGTTCTCATTAAAGAAAAAAGGCACTTTCTAGATTTTACTGAACAGTTTTTTTTTATTTTATTTAACTGAATAATCTTTGGTTTATGCCATTTTTCTTGTAGAATTATAAAAAATATTTTTATTTCTTTAAAACTTTAGTTTGCTTTTTCTAAGCCAGACAAAAACAGCACAATAAAGATCACTCTGAGTTAATCCTGCTTGTGACAATAATGATTAAGATTTCTAATGTCTTAGAGTCTTGGTAGGCAAAATGTAGCGAGCTTAGTATAGAACTGAGGAAGCTTAGTATTAGCCACACAAACAGAGAGCAGAATGGTCATGACATATTGGCCACACTGGAAAATTTACATTCTTGGTAACAGAAAACATCCATGTGATAGTGAGTGTCCCAGTGTCACGATAAAGCTGCTTACTTCAAACACAGCCGGTTTGTTTTGTTTTGAGTCTTACTACATAGCCCAGGCTGGTCTCGAATTCACAAGGTAGCTCATGCTGGTCTTGAACTTTATGATCTTTCTATCTCAGCCCTAACTGTTAGGACCACAACCAGCACCACTACACTTAATATTTTTTTTTTAAATAAGGAAATTCTAGGGTCAGCGAGATGGTTCAGCAAATAAAAGTGCTTGCTACCCAAACCTGATAGCCTGAGTTAGATTCCCAGAGCAATGGTGGAAAGAGAGACGTGCAAGTGAGCTCTGACACACACACACACACACACACACACACACACACACACACACACTGTGGCACAAGTGTGCCCATACTCATACATACATCTTATACTCTCACACACATATCATATATACACACAGTAATAATAATAAAACTTAATTTAAAAAGTTAATTCTAGATGTGTTCTACTTAAAATTGAAAACAAATTAAGAATGTTTCCTTTAATATATCTGTATACTCTATAAGAAGTTATAAGAAATATAAAAAGTGTAATAACAGTTTTAATTGCCAGGCACGGTAGTGCACACCTTTCATATCTGCATGTGGGAAATAGACACATGCAGATCTTTGTGAGTTCGTAGCCATCCTGGTCTATAGAGGCTAGCCAGGGCTACATAGTGAGACCTTGTCTAGTGCCTTCTCCTAGACTCTGAGGGTAACTGCATTCACATGTACACAAACCCTCTCCCTCCCCCCACATATACATAATTTTAAAAATAAACAAAAGGAATCTTTTAAAACAGAAAATCAGTATCTATCAGTAGCTACAACAAGTATCAATTCCTTTAACTATCAGTTCTGTTCAAACTGTGGCTTCTACACACACACACACACACACACACACACACACACACACACACACGCTGTGTCTTCGTCTTCGGAACCTTACTCTTTTAGCTTGTAAGTGCTCACTCAGCTCTGTACACCTGCCTCCCCTGGTGAGCATCCGCTGTGCACTAAAGCAGACTGCTTCCTGATTAGCCCTTCGTCCGTGGTCACATGGACTACCTGCAGGTTTTAACTACGAAACACTACGTTCCAATAAATGACTTCCCTCTCTGGGTTGTTTTCTGTGATGTGTATCTCTACAAGTCTAGGGAGGATGATCTGTCATGCAGATGGACAGTTGGTCCGTTCTCTGGCTGCAGTAAAGCTCCCCACCACATGTGTGACAGATGTCCAAGGAGAGTGAGTAATGGTGACTGCCTAACTTTTTTCTTCTAACTGTTTACATGGATTGTTTGTCCTGTGTTTGTATGTGCATGTACAGAGGTCAGAGGACACTGTAGGAGTAAATTCTCTCCTTCCATCTTGTAGGTCCCAAGGATCAAACTGAAGTGAGTCATTGGGGTTGACAACAAGTGCTATAAATAGAGCTGAGCCATCTTGCAGGCCCAAAGCATACTTTTCAAGTGTGTGTCTGTTTTCTGGAGTCAATTACTGTTTCTGTCTTGATAATTCAATTGGAAATCTTATGAATTTCCATCAGTTACTCAGAAAGATAATCCACTTTTCTTTCCCCATTTTGTTCATCTGTATATAAGCATATTACGAGTGTATGTTAAAATGGTTTATTTGGCAGATATTTGTAATTATTAGGCAGCTTGGAACTCTGTTTGCTCAGAGCTTCCTACGTGATTTGGTTCTCTGCCCGAATGTGCCCTCCATGCTTTTCCTTGTCTGCCTTCCTCACATAACTGCTCTGTCTCCGTCTGTAGCTCCTTACCATCCACATTTAACCACGGCACATCCGAGCTAGTACAATGCATCCTGTTTGTTTATGATCTGCCTCCTCCACTGGAATAAAGCACTTCAAATGACAGGGACTTGATTATTTTTACTGTTCATCCTTGTTCTTAATGACTACAAGGGGCCGGGTAAATATTACCGAGCAAATGAATCACACTTTGCCACTGAAAATTACTTTTGTTGCTTCAAGAACAACAACAACAAAAAAAAATGAACTCCCCTATGTAACTAGAGCAATGATATAATTTTCTTTTTTTTCTAGCTTATTTCAGTGTTAAAAATAATTTATTATTCTTCCATCTGATTTTTGTTGGTAAAAAATAGCACTTTGACTAACATTAACTAACTTTTGCTTTCCTATGCTTCTTTTGAGCTCAGAGCAGTTTGAATCTACTTTATAAATGTTAAACTTTGTACTGATAATTTTGGGGGAAGTAGTGCTGAGTTCGAACCAAGAGGCTCACACATACGAACAGGACACTTGACCATGGAGGGATGCTTCCCATCTTGAAGACTTCACAATTCCATTTATACGGGTATAGGTCTCTTAGCACCTTTACTAAATATTTGAGTTTTTAATTTTTTTCTATTGCATTTGTTTGTTTAGCTTGGGTGCAGGGGTGTCTATGTGTATTTTATACTCAAAGGAAAAACTGTCAACTCAAACTCAGAAGTCACCTTGTAGGAATCTCCAAGACTAGGAGCTAGCTACACATACTTACGGCTCACTTTGGTTATTATCGTCCACAGGAAATTTCCTACTTCCTATTAGAGGCAGAGAAACAGCTGGAACAAATAAGTGTCCCCCAGACCACTGACACATTGCGTCTACCACTCTAGGTACCAGGGACTGAATACAGGCTCTCCTTGCTGAGCAAGCACTCGGCTACTAAGCTACAATCTTAACCTTTTAGATTGTTTTTATTTTTAGCACAAAGTCCCAATATGTAGCTCAGGTTGGCCTGGGACTTACTACAGAAAGGCTACTGGTAAGCCTGGTGTGATGGAGGAAAAGCCTAAAACAAAACAAACAATAACCAGGAGAAAGAGAAACTGAAGAAAGGAGAGAGAAACAGACGCCACTGGTCAGCAACAGAGAAGGAAGTCAGGGATACAGGATGCAGGAGAGAAGCAGTGCCAGCCGGTGGGGAACAGAGCACCCACTGCTATTCACCAGTGTGGGCTTAATAGAAAACCCTGGGTGTCTTCCTTCAGTGATCAAAATAAACCCATCCAATTTAGCAGATTTGTCCTAAATAACCAGTGATCAGGCCCCTGCACTCTGACGACACCCTTCTATTTCACTCCATCTCACGACACAATTATTCCTAGCCACTAATAGTCCACAAACACCATAAATTAAAAATTCTAACCTCATGAGGCCGTTAGATCAGCATCCCTTTTCTCTGCCTTTTGCCATGAAAACTGTTGCATGTCTAGAACAATTGATTGACAGGCTTTATTGCATGGTGCAGCTTTCAATTTATAGAATAAATGAGCAGCTAGAACCACAGCTACTTCCTTTCCACACCCAGTTTCCTCATTTACTTGACATGTTATAATCAATGTGCCAATGCTGATATGTTGTTATTAAATGGCTGTAGTTTACATTTTATGACATAAAGGTTCATACTTCATAGTATAAAGTTTTATAGGTTTTGATGAATGTATGTAGCATGTAGCCTTGGTTATATGTTTACAAGAATCATTTCATTGCTCTAAAATTCCCTCAGCATCAGACTAGCTCTTTAAAAAATATTGTTAATTCTGGGCATGTATGTGTGTGTGGGGTTATGTACATGTGAGTGCAATTGCCATGGAGGCTAGCAGAAGGTATTGGCTCCCTTTGAGCTGGAGTGTTGTACACTGAACTCAGGGCCTCAGGAAGAGTAATGCATACTGCTGACCCATCTCTCTAGTCCCCACATTAGCTCTTAATTGCTTTTTTCCTTCAGTTCAGGGGATTGAACCTAAGGCCTTGTACATGTTAGCAAGTGCTCTACCTTGAACTACATCCCAAGCCCTTAATTGTTTTGTCCTGGTAGTTTTTTTTTTGTTGTTGTTGTTGTTGTTGTTGGTTGGTTTGGTTTGGTTTGAGATTGGGTCTCACTATGTAATCCTGGTGTGGTGGTTTGAAAATAATTGGCCCTCATAATCTCATAGGGAGGGGAGGTACTATTAGGAGGTATGACTTTGTTGGGAGTGGGTATGGCCTTGTTAGAGGAAGTGTGTCACTGTGGGGACAGACTTTGGGATTTCCTATGCTCAGGATACCGCCCAGTCTCAGTTGACTTCCTGTTGCCTGCAAGTCAAGATGTAGCCAGCACCATGTCTGCCTGCATGCCGCCATGCTCCCTGCCATGATGATGGGCTAAACCTCTGAAACTGTAAGCGAGCCATCCCAATTAAATGATTTTCTTTGTAAGAGTTGCCATGATCATGGTGTCTTTTCACAGCAACATAAACCCTAAGACACTTGGCTAGCTTGGAACTTGCTATGTAGACCATGTAGCTCTGAACTCAAGAGAAATCCACCTACCTCTGTCTCTGGATCAAGGATCTATACCACCACACCCAGCATTATTTTTGTTTTACTTTTAAATAATTTTTACATTTTGTTTATTCATGAGTGGGGGTAGGATGGGGAATGAATGTGTGAGGCTGCATGTGTGGAGGTCAGAGGACAACTTGTGGGAGTTGGTTCTCTCCCTCCACCATGTGGGTCTGGGGATCAAATAGGTTTTCAGACTTAGCAGCAAGTGCTTTTACCCTCTAAGACATCTCACCAGCCCCCTTGGTTTGTTCTTGCTGTTATTTTTAATAATAAAATTTACAAAGGTAAAAGGAAGAAAAGCACTCAGTATGTGCTAGGTTATGTTAGCCTTACTATATGATCATTAGAAATGATATGAATTCCTACATAAGCAGCAAAGTAATGGAATTTTAAGATACAAGGATACTATAATTTAGCAAATTTAAATTTTTTAAGGCTTTACCCATTAGCTTCCTATACCATTAATCTACTAACTAGTGGATAGAAATAAATAAGGAAATAAAAACAAAACTAAATTGCTATTCTAAATAATGCCCTTGAGGTCTGTCCCATGGGGACATATTTGCATGGGGAATATTTTTGATATACCATGGGCTCCTTTTTGCTGCCTGTTTGCACCAGGAACATAATTAGTAGCTAGCCTCTAATCTGAGATGTTAATTATGAAAGAAAGATGTAATATTTTAAGAACAGAATGGAATTCACCTAACCTTTATTCTAGGGCTATTTTTAGGATTTAGCCAGGAAAGTTAAAGTTGATGAATATATTCTATATGTTATTTTTCTTTCCTAAGACCATTAATTTCAGGGACATTTTATAATTTATAATTGTTGGATTTAGGATGCAAAAGTGTTAAAAAGCCAAGCACAGCCTTTCTGTGTATTGTGCCTCTCTGGTCACTACTGTTTAAAATGCAAAGTAAGCCATTTAAATCCACATGGGATAATGATGAAGGAACTAGGCTTTTCTCCACTGTAGCAAGATGTCTTGCAGAATTTACACTCCTCACATACAAAGAGAACACTGCTGCTGTGACCCTTTGCTTTGACCGGGATAATTGGCCGTCATTTGTACCTGTTTTGCAAGGCACATTCTCTTTGTATTGCCCAGTCTCTTGACAGTTTTTATCATTAGCCTCAGCCTTCAATCTAAGTCATCTGACCTATTGGCACAAACTATGTGACTCCTTTTTGGCAAACTCCAGAGAACTACTGCTTTAAGTTTAGATCCTGAAAGATCCACTGTAGACCCTGAAGTGAAAGTATCTGCCTGACCCCTCGAATGAGTCATAATCACCTCTACAATGACGTGGGCAGCGAAATCAAGAGACTCTTGCACTCCAGGAGGGGAAGGCTGAGCAGCGGCAGGTGGAGATGGCAGCAGACTTCATGCTATTACATACAATCTGATTTTTGTGGCTTTTACGAGTTGAATAACCTGCAAATACACAATCCTACCTTGGCATACTCACTAAGTCTAGGCTTGCTAGCAAGGTGCATTACTACTCACAAAGCATTTGAAAAATGACTAGTGATCTCAGACCCAGCCATTCTTTTCTAAATATCTGTGGTCACGGTGGCAACTCCTTGAAACATGTTGTTTATTTTTACAGGAGTACAAGGAATGATTCAAACACTTCAGGTAAGGAACAAATTCCAAGACATGTTTTATTGTGCTCTTCAGTAGAGGAGTCAGCCAGGTTCTTAGAGCAGTAGAACAAGGGTTCCATGGACTTTCTGATGCCTTCCCAATCTAAACACTCCACCCTGGAGAGAGACTTCCAAGCCCATTTTCAGATTCTCCCAGGTGTGCCTGTCACTCTGACTTCCCAGGTCCCTGAGTCTAATCAGGCGTGAACCACTCTAAGGAAAGCTCTGCAGATGGAATCCAACCCACAGCAGTAAGAGGACATCCCATCCTTGCAGATCTGTATGGGGAACATTTTTGGTAAATTAAAAATCACTCAGCTCCTCTGCTCTCCCATTTATTTCTTTAGCCTAACACTCACTGTGGAGTAACATTAATGTCTGGGTACAGGGATTTCTCCTTAACACATTCTGTCTTAAGGAATCTTTAACTTCTAACAACAAACACTGCACAAGGAGGTTGTCAGGCCAACACGGAAGCCTTGCCCTTTACTGTCTGCTGACTCACCTCTAAGCCACTCTAACCTGTGAGCTGGAATAAGCCTCAACTACGTCACACTCAGAAAAGAATATGCTGGAAAGAACACAGAGGAATATTTAACTTGATTTAAGTGGAGAGGAAAAATAATACAAAAAACAAGAATAGCTGAAGACATTTCTGGTCATACTTAAGAGTCCTACACAAAAAAAAAAAGAAAGAAAGAAAGAAAGGAAAAGATGATTATAGGGAAGATAGAACTTTTTAAAAGATTTATTTTATTTTATATGTATGAATATTTTGTCTGCATGCATATTTGGGTATCAGATGCCCTGGAACTGGAGTAACAGTTGCTATCCATCAAGTGGGTGCTGGGAACTGAACCCAGGTCCTCTGGAAAGAGCAGCCAGTGTTCTAATCACTAAGCCACCTCTCCAGCCCAATATAGTATAGAGTTTTACACAAATGGGATTTGTCTTTTTATGTTCTCATCGGTATCAGTATCCAAAATACCAGTTGGGCTTCACCACAACGTGGGATCCGTATTCCAATTTATAGTGTTGAACCTGAGAACACCGTAGAGAAACGTGCTTCTATAAAGAAAATGCAAGACAGGGACTCAAGAGATGACTCAGTAGTTACCAACGTGTATTACTCTCTTAGAGGATCCCACTTGATTCCCAGCTCCCAGGTTACCCAGCTCACAACCGTCTGTGATTCAAGCTAAAGGAGATCTGACACCTCTGGCCTCCATGGGCACCCACACATAAATGGTATATACTTTCACAGACATGCACACATATATATGCATGATTAAAAATAAATCTTTTAAAAAAGAAAACACAAGATACACCTTTTAGTTTGTAGACTCTTTACCTATCAACTTCTACTGCAAACTATATTTTACAAAGGAGCCAACCTAAAACTCCAGAGTTACCCAGTAAAAGTAAACACTGCTTTGTTTGCTAAAGGCAAAGCTCCACCTGATAGCAGCCCGACTGCTAATAATCATGGCTAACCTGTCACTAAACACAGAGATAGAGGTAGTGCAATGTACGAGGGATTCGCTAGCCACCTATGGATGCGTCTAGCTCATGCAGGGCACTAATATAGTTGTCTTCATCTTACATGTGACTGGTATTTCCGCTACTATGTCTTCTGGTACAAACTCAATTATTTTTTGCAACTGCACAAGCATGTAATGCTTATGTATTCTATATGAAGCACTTTGGCAGACTCAGGAGAGGCTAGACAGAAATAGTAGGCAGGTTACCTGTGTTAGCCAGAGAGAAGTCACTGAATGACAGAGGAGCGGTAAAGTCGTTGCTGTGTTTCAAATGGTTCTCTACTGACAAATCTCTGAGAAGCTAGAGGATGCTGGGTACAGAGAGGCCAGGTAGGAAGCTCTCTGTCAATCAAGGTGGAGGGTGCCAAACGGTCCTGAACAGGTAAGAAGCAGTCAGAATTCAAACAAGGATGTATATATGTAGTCAGAAAGAGTTCCTTACATATTCTATACAGTTAGTGTGTACTACCAATGATGGTGGGATGACGGTGACAACAACGATGATGATGATGATGATGATGATTTACTGAGGGGTCTGGAGAGATAGGTAGGTCAGCACTGAAGGGCTGAAGCGTGAGGATGTGAGTTCAACCCCCAGCACCCTCATAAAGAGCTGGGCACAGCAGTGCACACTAGCAATCCCAGCACTGTGCAGAGACCAGAGGACCCTAGAGGGCCACTGACCAGCTTAGCTGAGTCTGTAAGCCCCAGGCCCTGAGAAACCATGTATCTGAAACCAAGATGGACGGGTCCGAGGAGACACCCAAGGTTGTCCTCTGGCCTCCACATGTGTACAGGTGCACACATACATGTACACCCACCACACATGTGTGTGCTCACACACACAGAATTATTCTATCGATGTGTAGGAACAACAGACAAAGAACAAGAATGACAATTTGGGGGGGAATATGGAGGATGCCGAAGAGAGGCAATTGCACACTGATGTTAAGTCAGAGTCCCAGGCTTTGGTTCTAACGGTCCTTTCTCTGTGACATGAATACTCCATTTACCCTGTCTCTGTGTGTATGGCTGGGCTGCTGGGCTGAGGAGGGCATTTCGACAGTTACTCTTCTAAAGGCTGGCAATTTGGGGCTGCTGATAGCCCGTTCCTGGAAGGCTAGCAGGCAGCTTGGAGTGGGTGTCTTGGGCACTGGGGACTAGCCACGGTCATCGAAGAGGTGTAGCCCAAGTCCACTTGGAGCTTGCTCAATCCCGGGTGTGGCACAGTGCACCTCGTGGCGTTAACTGTTTTCCTGTTTGTTTTCTTTCCTTCTCCTTTCCTGTCCTTGTCCTCCCGTCATCCTCTCGCAGGCTTGCACAGCTTTTCAGTCTTCCCCCTGATTAGCGTCTCTTTCCCCCTTTTCACGCTCCTCTGACTAGCGTTTCCCTCCCACACATTCTTACCACTTGGTAATACTCTTCACCTCAGGAAAGCAAAGACTACCACACTCTAAAGCTCCACGCTATTAAATTCAGGCTGCACGAAGATTAAAAGTGTGTCTGTAATCCTAATTTCTAGGTAAGGCCAGAAATAATAATGCTGCCCAAAGAAGGAAAATAAATCGTAGTGCAAAGTTGTCTGATTCTCCCGCTCCCAGCTCCCAGGAAGTGCTGGTTGAGGACAGAGACATCCGATTCATCCCCCATACACCTCTGCAGTGGAAGGGGGTTACTTTCTCTTCTTTCTGCACAATGTTTTATGGAAAGTGGCACTTTCAAATGCACTGTTTCTATAAGCAAGGCCGGGGGATGACAGGGCAGATCTCAAGCTAGACCTGTTGCTCCGACCTGAGTCCATGTCTCTCCTTTCTTGACTTTTCATTTCTTACCTTTCAAAGCTTCATTCTCCCCAGCCTTTTCTGATTTCTTTGTAGAGAGCCCAGACTTTTCTATGATGCCACAGTAATTTTCCTAGATGGAAAAAAAAATGAGACCAAAGATAAAGGTTTGAGAAATGAGAGGGAAATCATATATGAAATACTCAGTTTCCTTCCCACCCGCCTGCTTCTTTTTTCATCATCCTGTTCAATATTACAAATCAAACTCTAAAAGTGGCCACGTTCATCCCCTGCTTGTGAAACTGGAACTAAAAGGACAAGGGAGGAAGGCCCCGAAGGGACCAGGTTTGTGAACCACCAGTGAGCTCCAGTGGACAGAGCAGAGCCCCTGGGCGAGGTGCTTAGAATGTGGTTGGAATTGAGACCCAATTAAGTTTTCTCCTTGTGTGCCTTCTCTCTCGTCTTTGGCCCTCCTCTCTCCTTCTTCCCTCCAATGACATCTCTTCCACTCCCCCTCACTCTGGCTCCTCGCCCCTCCTGGCTCTCTCTCCTCCTGTCAAATCCTCTTCTAATCTCCTCGACCTGGTACCTCATCTGTCTCCCCCTTTCTCAGGGGGAATGTACAGAAGACACGTAAAACAGAAAAAGTCACAGTCGCTGGAGAAGCCTATCGGATGACCTAAAGGTGAGTTTGCAATCTGCTAAGGCTGTAGCTTTAAACGGTAGACATGGCACCTTCAGAAAATTTTAATACCTTACTCCTAACACGAGTCTCATTATTTCTACGGTGGCAACAGAAGAGGTGAAGCAGCCCATAGAGAGGGGGATGGAATGTGGAGGGAGGGGTTGCTTGTGGCTTCTTCTCTTGACTCTTCTCATAGGTCAGAGGGGAACAGCAGCAGGAGGAAGACCAGGGGGCTTTGGTGAGGCACTCACTGGGAGAGAACTGCCCTCTGCTGCCGCTACATGGGGTTATTCTCCCTGTGTACGGTGCAGGTCCCAGGGACTGAACTCGGGTTGCCAGGCTTGCCAGCAGGCACCTGACCTAAGACACCTTGTCTGTGCACAGATCTTTACTTTTTTTTTTCTGTTATGAAGAAATGCATCATTATAAATAGTTTTATTATTTTTTACTTTTAGTTGATTTTTGTGTGGCACTTGGAGATGAACCCAGGGCCTTACTCATAAGTCCTCTACTGCTGATCTACATCCCAAGCCCTTAGTTTCACTTTTCATCTTAATATTAATTTTTAGACCTATTTATTTTATGTGTATGCGTGTTTTGCCTGCATGGATGTGCACTATGTCCATACCTTTGGAGGTTGAGTGAAGGCATCAGATTCCCTGGAACTGGAGTATGGTATAGTAGATTATACTATCTAACGTATAATACAATTATAAGCCACCATGTGGGTGCGGAAACTGAACCCAGGTCCTGTGTGAGAACAGCAAGTGCTCTTAACTAAGCTATCTTTCCAGTTCTAGTTTTATCTTTTATTCACTTCTTTGTATTAATTTTTAGCCTTTCACTTAGGAGTAAAACCTCTTAGGACATTTTGTATGTAAGCATACATTTTGCATTTCAGACCTTTGAAATAAACTGACTTTTGTGTTTTTTTTTTTGTCAGATCAGTACAAACTACTAAACTAAAAACAAAGCCCAACTCAGGAAAAGGCGATCTCTTCAAGAGGGAAACAGCAGTATCTTTTATGTGGCAGAAATAAAGAGTACTACTAACCACTCAGAATGCAAATCTATGCCACCTAATTTCTAAAATCCTATTTTAGGTGTGGATTTTTTCCTGTTTGTGGATATATATTTTAAAAGAAGATAAGGAGCTATGAAAATTACAAGGATTTTAATTTATAAACTCAGTTTCTAAGGCGTCTTTGGTTTGGGCTTCTTAGGAAAAGTTGCTCTTCTCTGTGGCTTTTACTTCCATCACGGTTACACTATGTTTCCCCCTCCGTTTCCTGCATTGGGTGCTGTGGGGTCACTGATGGTGAAGACTGTGTTCTTTGCATATCTGTGTTCTAGTGAACACTTGGTGCTAAATAGTATTCATAATAGTATTCATAATTTGGCAATACATGATACTAAGTGACAATTTACTGAGTATCATTTTCAACCAGTTTTTTTTTTTGTTGTTGTTGTTGTTGTTGTTGTTTTTCGAGACAAGGTTTCTCTCTGTAGCTTTGGTGCCTGTCCTGGAGCTCGATCTGTACACAAGGCTGGCCTCGAACTCACAGAGACCCACCTGGCTCTGCCTCCTGAGTGCTAGGATTAAGGTTATGCACCACCGCCACCCAGCCTTCAACCAGATTTTTAAGAAACTTCATTTAAAGGAAACCACAGGCTGGGCATGGAGGTCAGTAGTAGAGCACTTGCCTATCCTGGTATGCACAAGACCCTGACTGTAATGCCCACAACCCCAAAGCCAAAGAGGAAAAGTAGGAAACTATAGACAATCCCTGTCTGAAGAATGGTTTGTATTTTTTTTAAGTTTCCATCTAGGGGCTGGACAGATTGCTTTGCAGTTCAGAGCACTTGCTGCTCTTGCAGAAAACGAGTTCAGTTCCCTGCACCTACACAGCAACTCACAACCATCTATAACTTCAGTTCTGGGGGACCTGACATCATTCTGACCTCCATGGGCACCAAGCATGCACGCAGTACACATACATATACATGCATGCAGGCAAAACACTCATACACATTAAAATACAGTTACCACTTCATTACGTTCTGAAACCTGCTGGTCATTCTACAGTTAATCTACATAGAAATCCATAGAGTACTGTTGTCTCCCCTGGTTACAGATGGCAAAACGAAGCTTGGAGGATATTTGCTGAAGGTACACCCAGAAAATGGTAGAAATAGCATTTGAACATGAGGAGCTCTATAGCCAAGCTAAAAGAAAATTTAATTCACACTCGTGTATATTTCCATTTAACAGTACCCCTTAAGAGAAAAATCTTTTACCCATTCTTGGCTCACAGACCAGGGGATTTGTCTCCCTTTACCTGCTACTCCAAAGAGAAAAAGAATTTCTTCCCCACCTCCACATGAGGAAAAAGATTTCCACAGAATTAAGAAGAGACTGTCACTGGGGATGTGCTACCATCTGAAGTACACATAAACACTTTGCAAGTGGGAAATGACGTCTCCTTTATAAACTATTTCTTTGATATAGATTGTCTGTGACAAATCAGGGGAGACAGTCTTAACTATGATTGGCTATTACTAACTAACGAGAGTCCTTCAAAAGACCAGTGTGCAGGCACCTTAGAAAATAGTTCAGAAGATTCTTACAAAACTAAGATGTTCTTATCAGATGACCAAAGAAAAATGAAAAGCATGTTCATAACAAGACATAGTTCAAAACAAGGCTTATACATGAATGATCATAGTGGTTATTCATAACAGAAAAAAACTTGGAAACAACCCAATTACCCATCAACAGATGAGTAGTTAAACAAATTGTGGTATGTCCATACAGCAATACCACTTGGCAAGCAAAAGAAACAAACCAGTAATAAATGCTTCAACACAGCAGTCGTAGAAACATGTTGAATGAAAGAAGCCAGAGAGTAAAAGAATACACAATGTGATTTAAAAGACGATCTGGAAAACAACTCACTTGTGAGCTAGGTCAGTGGCTATCCGGGCGGGGCACAGTTGCCTAGGAGGGCAATGACTGGAAATATATACAGGGGACTTTTGGAAGACATGGGAATATCCTGTCTCTTGACTGAAGTGGCTGTTATTTCCATATATATATTTTTCAATAAAAATATTTTAAAATGTTTTTAAAGTCATTTAAGTTATACCTTGACAAGTTGGTTTTTTAAGTCAAAATATAATTATACACTAAACTAATGAAGTTCTATAATTTGGAACTTAGTGGAAGGAAATTAATTAGATCATTGTGAGTTGTAGTGGTTTGAATGAGAATGGGCCCCACATGCTCATATATTTGAATGTTTGGTCCCCAGTTGGTAGAACTGTTTGGGAAGGATTAGGTGTGGCCTGTTGGAGGAGGTGTGTCACTAGAGGTAGACTTGGGGGTTTCAAAAGACCAAGTCATTCCCAATTAGCTCTTTGTCTCTGCCTCCCACCTGTTGCTTGTGGATCAAACATAAGCTCTCAGCTACTGCTCCAGCATCAGGCCTGCCTTCCTGCTGCCATGCTCCCCGCCATGATGATCATGGACTCTAACCCCCTGGAACCATATGCCCAATTAAATATGTTCTTTGCTAAGTATCACGGTGTTTGTCACAGCAACAGAAAAGTGAGATAGGATGTGCCCTTCAAGAGGATACTGTGACTCTATTCCTTCCCTCTTTTCTTTTTGCTTCCTGTGTTTTCTCATCACAACGTATTGTCCTGCCACAAGCAACCACAGACTAAAACTGTGAGCCAAAATTTATGTTTTCATTTATTTTGTTAGTGACTTAAAACGCGCGAGCACACACACACACACACACACACACACACACACACACACACACACACACACATATAATCAGTGGTAGAGCCTAGCATGCCTGAGGCCCTAAGTCCAATCCCCAGCACATAGTTTTATTAGGCTTAAAGAACAAAAGTACACATACACCTAAACCTGCTTGCTCTTAATAATGTTATCTCACTGTGCTATCTCACAGGGGTTTGTGACACAGAAAGTGCTTGTTTACCTGCTCCACTGGCAGGGAGGAGTTGATTCCCAGTCTGAGGTTTCAGCTTGGAACACATTCCCCAATAGCCTGCGAGTGAAGAGCTACCGACGCTATGTACTATATAACCAAAGGAGTTTTTGCTGCTTTTCCTTTTATGTGTGAATTAGATAATTATCAGAGGGGATAGGGAGATGGCTCAACATATAAGAACACTTGCTGCCCTTCAGAAAACGCTGATTCAGTTCTCAGCATTCACATGGTGGTTCAAAACTACCCATAATCCAGTCTCAGGGGAATCCAATACCCTCTTACGACCTCTGCGGGTACCAGGCACACATGTGGTGCACAGACATACATATAGGCAAAACCCTCACATGCATATTATCAAAATATTTTTTAAACCTCATCACAGGTGTGCATAGTGGTGAAGTCCTAGCTTTGGATCACATGAGTCTAGGGATGTATTGTATAGTATAAAGAGTCTGTCTCAAGAAAGAGATTTATTTGGGGGACACTTATTCCTTTAAACATATCATCAAAAATGTAGAGCTTAGGAGACAGTCTCTACAGCTAACAGTTGATTGGAAACAAATCAACAGAAAATTCCTGAAAGGAAACTGGGGCCAAAGGAACCTACTGAAGCTATCTAGAGACTAAATCTAAGACACAGGCAACTAAGATTTTCAATTTTTTTGTTTTTGTTTTTGTTTTTGGAGACAGGGTTTCTCTTTGTAGTTTTGATGCCTGTCCTGGAACTCACTCTGTAGACCAGGCTGGCCTCGAACTCACAGAGATCCACCTGGCTCTGCCTCCCGAGTACTCCACCGCCTCCCGGCATGAGTTTTGAATTTTGAGGTTTAAATGTTTACTTGGACTTAGGATACCTTTTAAGAGAGTGCCATATCAAAAATGCTTAGCAGTGGGTATAAAGTAATCCTGTCATGGGAGTGTGCCATTTCCTGTACTACTCATGAGAAAGGAATGGTAAGGATTTTCTTGGAGACTCATAGTCAACAGTTGGGTGGAGACTGGAATGGAAGCCAACGATATAAGTTATTTACATAAATATGGACAAAAGCCTACATTGTGGTAATGGTCTGCTGGTATTTGATTTTATCTATATAATCCCAGTGGTTGCCCTTTGGGCAATAAAATGTTTCAAGGTCACAGATAAAATAATATTCCTCAGGACTGGGTGTGTAGCTTAGTGGTAAATCATGTCTAGCAAGTACAAAAATACAAAAACAAATCAAGCCAGATGACCAACCAACCACAACCCCCAAATATGGTCACAAATACTTGATGTTTCCTCAAGGGCAGAGTCTACCCCTTTCTCTTGAGTATGGGTGAGATTTAGTGATTTAGTGCCTGGCTTTGGAGATTAAATCATAAAAAGGTCCATGGTTTCTGTTCTGGTCACTCCCCTGGATCCTTTGTTCTGGGGTGAGACAGCTGTCACCACCCAAAGAGAGAGCCAAATGACCAGGAAAAGATGCCTATAGTAAATGGCCATGAGAGTGAGCCATCTTGAAAGACACCCTTTAGTCTCAGTATACCTCCAGATGACTACTGTCTCAGCTGCCACCCTGATTTATAACCTCAGGAGAAGCCATAAACCAGAGTCGCCCAGTAAATTCGCTTCTGGTTTCTGACACACACACACACACACACACACACACACACACACACACACACAAATGGAGAGATTACATTTGTGTACAATAGGGAATCACAAAATTGATCCCTAATTTTACTGCCAGAACTTGTCTATATTTTGTATGGACACTTCAGATACTTTATGAAATAATGCTATCTGTCCATGTCTTCATGAAAGCAAATTTGTGCATTTTATTAAGATTTGTGTGTATTCATACATACATACACACATATATAGTCTAAAAGGAGTGGGGAATTAATGCATTTTCACTGCTGGTGCCAACTTGTTCTGTACTCTTGATGCCCTGACCTGAGATGAAAGGACTGAGAGACTGTCTGCTTTCCTGTGTTTGCTTAAAATGTTACCCAGGGGCCAGGAGGCCTAAAAGCTTTCTCCAGGTACTTGTTTAGTTAA